AACGCAAATCGATATCGACGTCAGCCGGAATCATTCAAAGTGGACGATAAAGTTTGGCTAGACTTGCGTAATATCAAAACACTACAACTATGAAAAAATTAAGCCTAGATTTATACAAAACACGAGGTCACAGCCATACCTGATTCCTTGACAGTTGAGCTGAGCGTGCTAGGAAGAATTTGTTGGAAATTCAGACTCTAAGTGTCTGAAGTTTCCCTATGATTAGAACAACTAAAATTCTCACACATGACTCACGACCTGACTCGCGACCAAGTTGATTGATATCTCCCTTATTGAGCATGTTTGATGCTTGGGACTTAACTAGTGCATGGTATGCTTTGATACCCGTGTACACTTTCATCCACCGACCCTGACCCCATACTCATGTTTTATGCTTTCGTGTGATTCATTGTCATTGTTAGATTATGGAACGAGTGAAAGATAGTATCTAATTTGACTTTGGTCTATCAAGTGTACATGTATATAAGCTGTCTAGGAATCACCAAGACAGATAATCAATCAATTAATTAATTCAATCCATTTTTTATTTCTCCACAGTATAGCACATATTCTCCCGACTCATATTATTATTATTCTATTCATATATCGCGCCCATTTTCTTTGAGCAGCCTTACTCATCTAACCCATACCGATTTTCCAACAAATTCTCATATCTCTCGTTGACTTTCTCTAGCCTCAGCTGACCACCAAATACAAGCCCACGTCGATATTTATATCCACTCGAGGAAACAAAGCGTGGCTCAAAAATACTGGAGACGATTCTTTCCGATGGACGCGAGAGATATCAAGACAAGTTTATAAGCTGATTTCGACGGCCGTGAAACCCAAATTTGGCAAGGAGTTCACAAACTGAGCTTTGTGCGCGCCAAGATATTGCTTGCGAGAGTGCAGCTGGCACTATAAACACAAGCAAACGATGGAAGGTGCCGTGGTTTGCCTCCTGGTGGTGTTATCTGGTGTAGTTTGAGTAGCCTGGACACCTACTCTACTTGGGAAAGAGACACCTATATCACATTTCGCGTGGAGAAAAGTCAATAGATGATCGAGGCATATCTGGATAAATCAGAGTTTTAAGACGTTTCCCGGGGTGGGTATTCACGGATGAGGGCTCACTTGGGGTGAAGAAAAAGCTGCCATAACTTCGCAGTAGTTCATGTAAATGAAAACCGAGGCATGAGTGCTCTTCCTTTATAACGAGTCATCTAATATGTACTCTCTCTCTGATATTTTGTCAAAGCTAGATAGCTGGATATGAAACTAATTTCTGATGCTAAAAAGTGTCTATTGTCCAACTTGTGTCTATAAATTTCTATCACATTTGACTTCTCTCTGATCCAAGCCATGCCTTGTACGGTGCTCCTATTATTTTTTGTCGCACGAAAGACCAGTAATATATTGCCCATGATGAAAAGCCATTAAGCTCGGTATTTATACATGTAATCCAGCAACCTTTTCCCTGTAACTTACTACCAAAAAAAGGTAGCATTGGTATGGTATACATGAACCGAATTCTACGTGACTAAATAACACATAATATAAGCATGTTGATAGCTGAAACATTTAATGAAAATCTCATGCTTCTGCACTACAAATGGAAACTGTGTGTCCGGAAATTTTTTTTTAAAAACCTGCAGCCTCAGCCAGGCGAGGCCTAGACACCGGGAGTACATGAGGTGCGCATATTCATCTATATCTCCCTTCTTTGTAACATTCGAGGACGACTTGATCTAATCCACCAACTCCGTATCGGGTGCTGGGTACTTTCCGGAAACTCATCGGATGGCTTCTCCTCCATGATCATGGGTTGATGAAGAGTAGGGCTTCAACCCTGCCATCTGATCTGATCGTGGTTAGCTTCATGATAATGGTGATAGGGAGATATGTTGAGAGATGAAGACGATACAGACGGCGAAAGCAATTGGGAATCCTCATCGAAGTGAGGATTGTTTCTAAATCTCAGCTCTGCAGACTCTACAGAGAGAGCAAGAGGTTCGTAGGGGACACCAATGACAGGTATTGAGAATAGTCTCCCGGACCTCTCGGGAGGAAGATGGTGAGAAATAATTCATTTGTTTTTTGGCTCTTTCAAGGCATCAAACCGAGTGGGCCCTGTCGTACCAACAATCACGTTCGCCGCACTCAAGTAATGCCACAAAATAATCTATATTTTTTCTATGAGACAACTTCCGTGGGAGTGATCCAATGTATGGTGTGTGCTGATTTTTTTGCATCAGAACTTTGTTTCATATCCAGCTATCTAGCTTTGACAAAATATCAGAGAGAGAGTACATATTAGATGACTCGTTATAAAGGAAGAGCACTCATGCCTCGGTTTTCATTTACATGAACTACTGCGAAGTTATGGCAGCTTTTTCTTCACCCCAAGTGAGCCCTCATCCGTGAATACCCACCCCGGGAAACGTCTTAAAACTCTGATTTATCCAGATATGCCTCGATCATCTATTGACTTTTCTCCACGCGAAATGTGATATAGGTGTCTCTTTCCCAAGTAGAGTAGGTGTCCAGGCTACTCAAACTACACCAGATAACACCACCAGGAGGCAAACCACGGCACCTTCCATCGTTTGCTTGTGTTTATAGTGCCAGCTGCACTCTCGCAAGCAATATCTTGGCGCGCACAAAGCTCAGTTTGTGAACTCCTTGCCAAATTTGGGTTTCACGGCCGTCGAAATCAGCTTATAAACTTGTCTTGATATCTCTCGCGTCCATCGGAAAGAATCGTCTCCAGTATTTTTGAGCCACGCTTTGTTTCCTCGAGTGGATATAAATATCGACGTGGGCTTGTATTTGGCGGTCAGCTGAGGCTAGAGAAAGTTGAGGAGATGTGTGTTCATTGAAATTAGGATGTACTGAGTCATTATTGTAAATTTGATGAGGCTTCGGTAGGAGTCAAACTCGTCGGAAGAGAAAAAACGATGTGGTGGAGTAATTTGAATCAATGCCTCGTGGGCCAAGTTCTTCGATATTGCGAAATTTGACTGAACTTGGCTCTGGGATAATATTTCACTCCCAAGTTAATAGAGGACACCGCGTACAGGTGTTCAGTCTTTGCCCTCCGCACAAAGCTCTTCATTATGAAATTCTTTTTCAAATTTTTAATTTTGGCCCTAATATATTTCTTGTATGGTTGGCATCATCCTGCCTATCCCTTCTGATCTCTCTCGCGTTCATATCTTAGATTAGTTTCGTCATATTTGTGCACAACGGTTTTTATCCTCCTACAGAAATTTGGGTTGTCGTTGGCGTTTAATTAAAAACTAAAGTAGAGTCGATGAAAGTCGTGATAATTGAAATGAGGGACAGGGGTTTTGGAGGAATTACGAAGAGTGTTGTAAACCTTGAACGAAAAAACTTCTAATTTGAGGGCAGACAGAGCAGTGTCGTTTTGAAATAGACCCACACATGTTGGGAGAATAATTCACCACAAGTATTCGGAGGTCCTTCGCTACTCAGAGATATCCCTGACAACTAACAAGCACTTACCGTTAAATTTGCAAAAACCAAAATTAAGTCAAACACTATCTAGGAGAGCTCCTGCTGTCCTCGAGTGAGTGATATTTTTTATAGTACTATTTGAATCTTGGACGATCTAGCACATTGGTCTCCTTTCTGACACAGGCCACACCTTGTACAGTGCCCTTTACCTCATTGTTACTTGAAAGATCATTGATATATTTCCCGTGATGAATAGCCATTCAGCTCAGGATTTACCCGTGGAATTCGGCCACCTTTTCCATGGAACAGCCTGCTGCCCATTAGTCCGTGGCATTCTCTATTGTCCTAGACGACTCAAAGGAATCGGGCAAGACTGTTCCATAGTACACACCCTTTTTTAAGAATCTTCTGAAACTTCAACACTATTTCCTGTTCATCCTGATGCGAAATTTACAGGAGAAGCTGAATAGATGTTACGAAGAGGTGTGAAAGACTTCCAGAGGCACACACAAAACTATGATACCCGGCTGATCGGCCTCTTGGACGCTCCATAATATTAGCCAAGCCTTCAAACCTTATCTTGATGTTGGTACTAGGGGTGTTAAGCACCCATTGGTCCTTGCAAGTTTTGCTAACATTTACACGTGAATAGCATGTCCATTAAAGTCATAGACTCATTGGGACAATAAATATAACATACTCGTAAGTAGCGACTGGTTGATTGGTTTGAGAGGGGCTGTAACTAGGGGCAAAAGGTTTTCTGAATGGATAATCTAGGTTAGACTGTTTGAAGAGAAAAGTAAAGCAGGCATAGTAGAGAAAATATTACTTGAGGCATAGTTTTCTGCTTACAAGTATGGAGGATGTACGTGTCATAAATAGTCATAAATTGAGGAAGAATATTGATTACACCAAAATAATGTATCATTCCTATTAATTAAAAGGTAATATTAGTCATTCAAGTTTAGCACTCACTAGATGCATTTGATCCTGTGGAATGGCCCAGCCTTATCGTCTGTTTTACTACAAGCTGCGTTTCCCACCTGAAATTTAGGGTTACAACATTTGTCATTTGCATCTTTCATCCATGACTGTTAGCAACCAGCAATCTACACCTATTTGCCATAAGCCGTCATTTTGAGCGGATAATATTTAAAATAAATTATAATTTTCTGAGATTCTCACTTCAAATTCTGCTCTCTACGAGCTCAGTTATTTCCTAGCAATTCGATTGATCCTCCACAACGTCTCGCCTAACATTATCGTCATGGGAAGTATTCCAGGTAAGCCTTTCTTCCAGCTAGAAACCAACTCGGTTCACACTAATCTGAAGACTAGTTGTTGTCAAGCATCAGGGCAAGAAGTACGATGTTGAACTTGATCCCAATGCACTGGGTGAGGTCTTCAAGTTCCAGCTCTACTCCCTCACTGGTGTTGAACCTCATCGACAGAAGATTCTAGTCAAAGGTGGTCAACTTAAGGACGAAACAGAACTCTCAAAAATTGGCGCGAAACCCGGTCAGATGTTCATGATGATGGGAACGCCTGAAGATGGTGAAACCCTACAACGTCCAAAAGAGACAATTAAATTTATTGAGGATATGACGGAAGTAGAGGTAGCCCAACAAGATGGGGCTACGCCAGCTGGACTACAGAATTTGGGGAATACATGCTATCTTAGCTCTACTCTACAAACGCTTCGGGTTATCCCAGAACTGCAACAACAATTGAAAAATTACACAACGGCATCTGATTCATCTTTTCCCAATAGTTCTCTCGGGAACATTAGTGCACTCGGACTTGCAGGTCTAGGAACATCATCTGATCTTGTTGCATCACTACGGGATCTATACAAGCAGATGGGCGAGACTCAAGTAGGATTCCCTCCACTCGCATTTCTCAACTCACTACGAACGATATTTCCACAATTCGCCGAAAAATCTAAATCCGGTAACGGATATGCTCAACAGGATGCTGAAGAGGCGTGGTCACAGATATTAAATCAACTTCGAGAGAAACTGAGGATAACTGTGCAAGAAAATGGTGATTCAAAAGACGTCTCATTTGTGGATAGATATATGAGAGGCGAATTCACATCTATTACTGAATGCGATGAACGGGCTGCTAAAGAAGCGGGAGAGATGCCGACTCAAAACAGTGAACCGTTCCTGAAACTAGATTGTCATATAAGTGCATCTACCAACCACCTACGAGATGGAATTTTGGCAGGCCTTGAACAAAAGTTGGAGAAACAATCGCCATTACTATGTCGGAACACCGTTTACACTAAGAAGATGCAAATCTCTAAGCTACCTAAGTATCTGACCGTTCACTTCGTCCGATTTTACTGGAAAAGAGATGCACAAAAAAAAGCTAAAATTATGCGCAAAGTAACTTTTCCTGATGAGTTGGACGTAGTTGAGTTTTGTACCGATGAGCTTAAACATGCCCTGATTCCTGTTAGAGATAAGGTCCGGGAAGTTCGAAAGGATGAGGAAGATTTCGAACGGGCTCGTAAAAGACAAAAAGTAATCAAAGATAAGCAAATTGCCGACGTAAAAGCAGGTATCGTCGATTCGACCTCTACTAACGTTCAAGACGGTAGCAAAGGTGTCAGTGGACAAAAGAACACAGAGACTGACACAGAGATGAAAGATGTCGTCAATAATCCCGAGACAGATGCCGAGCGTGCTGCTTCTATTCTTGCCGCAAAAAAAGAGCTCCATGCTATGGTTAATATAGAGACCTTGGCTGACGATAGCATCAACAAATCGGGCCTCTATGAACTTCGCGGCATTGTTACTCACCAAGGTGCCAGTGCCGATAGTGGACACTATACTTCCTATGTAAAGAAGCAAGGACCCTTGGATTCCAAGACTGGGCAACGGGGTGAAGAGGATGGAAAGTGGTGGTGGTTCAACGACGACAAGGTGTCAGAGGTTGAGGCAGAAAAGATCAAGACTCTATCCGGCGGAGGTGAGTCTCATTCTGCGCTTATACTTTTATACCGCGCGATTCCGTTACCGGATGCGGCTGGGATAAGTCAGGGATAAAACAATGTTTATGACATATACGACTAAATATCATAGCTCCTGGCCATGAGTAATGAGAGATGCATGGGAATAGTAAAATAATATTTATGAACCAATTAAACATGCTTGACATAGTAACCGTTCATGTAGTAATATGATTAACCCTAAATTGTTTACTAGTCTGACGCGGACTAGAGCGCACCCTAGCTCAAACAAACCTTCAACTAGTGGATCAGCACGAGGGGATGAGAAAAAACATCGAAAATTTATTTCGATATTTGGCTCGTTATTACGCCTGACCAAATGAAAGCGGTAAGACTAGGCACAATCATCTTGTCTACTATATTTTTTTGCATCAGATTTTAATTGCGTAAGCAGCTACTTAGCTTTGACACAATATCAAAGAAAAGTACAAAAAAGATGACTCAATTTACAAGAAGAGCACTCATGCCTCGCATTTCATTTGCGAGAAATCTTGCCTACTATGCCACTTGGAGAAAGTATGCTCTTATAGTCGTCTCGTTCAAAACAAGGAGCAGTAAACTTTAAGTTGGGAATTTCTTTCAGATTGGCTTGCCGTGTGGTAGAGGATATGTGAAGAATGCACAGGTAATAAATAGTTTCTGATCAGAATAATAGGAACTGTAGCCGGCAAAGACGAATTCTTCACCTTCTAGTGGTGCCGGTGTAATAGCTCAGTATGCTCTGCATATCTGGGATAGCCAAGAAGAATCGCATATGAACCTAAGTCGAGAGCAAACACAAACACATCTGTAATTGGCGACTTCTCATCAATGTTGGTCTTGTCATTCTCACGAGAGTTTTCTACCTTAACCTCACCACACACCACATAGTCTTAACGACCTATAAAGGCATTACTCCAATCGCAAACAGGAGCCTACCTTATCTATTACCGGCCATCACTCACTACAAATTTACGATGCTACGTATGCTCGCAAGGAGCAAATTAAGCCATAAAGCACAAAGTTTTGGTCTTGGTTTATGTGAGACTGTTACTCTAATGGGGCCATATAGCTAGATGAAGTATCGGCGACTGAGGCTTAGAATGAGATGAAGAGATCTCTCGCTGGAATGATAGGTCTGATATTCTTCGAGGCATACTCGACTTTGAACCACCTATCTGCGCCGAGACTAAGGTTTCGGCAAATGAGCCAGGATGTTATATTAACTAGGCTATATGGGAGCAGGACGATGGATACTCTTGGGGAAGTTATGCTCACAGTAGGTCTCTATAGTCGCTGTTGCGTGTGTTCTCGTGATATGTAAGACTTGACTCTATATTCTCGTATAAAGGAAACTTAGTTACAAATGAATGGACGGAGGTTGAGACCTCCTTATATCTTGCTCCAGACTTACTGTGTTGTTCACAGCCTAGTGCTAGAACATTCCCTTATGATATCATTTCTCTCCTACGAGAAATGCCCATCTCGTTCTCTCTCAGTCTATCAGTCTCCCGCTGATTCCATTATCTCTATTCCATCGAGTTCTAGTTTGGTCCAGTGTACCCACACATGCATTACACACTAAACACCCCACGGTTTAGTTCCACAGTCACGTGCATATGCTATGACGCGACCTAAAGCATGTACCATGGTAAGTTACATGGATAACACAACACAGGAGGACTTCTATTATCGATGAGCCTACGCTACTCCCCAGAGCCCAGGACAGCTCAAAAGAATTTAGGCTAAGCTACCATACAGCAATCACGCTCTGTTAAGACTTTTCTCATACTTCAACACGAACGTTGAGAAAGAGTTGAAAGGAGGCTAGAAAGGCAGAGAGTGAATTTTCCGAGGTACCCACAAGTCTGCAGCGCCCAGCTGTCAGGCCTCTTGAACGTTTCAGAAGGATCCTTATGTCTTCGGATTTATTCCTAATGTCGGTATTAGAAGAGCCCCGCACCCAGTGGTTTGTTGCGATTTTTCCCGGCTTCACACACCCGCAAATGGCCATCGTTTCGTTGGCTGGAGAGGGGAGATAATGAAGGGCAAAGGGCTCCTCCTAGTGTATGATCGAATGAGGACTTGTGAGGGGTGGTACTGTTTGAGGGGAGCTGTATGGGAGGCATAGGAGGGGATACTACTGGCAATGTTTTTTTTGGCCTGTTGTGACGGGCTTTGCCCAGATTGGGACTGGTCACTAGGAACATTCCGTTTTCGAGGCTAGGCTGTGGCAGAGCAGCGCTTCTGGAAATTCGAATGGGGCGCATAAGGAGGTATCAAAGGGGATATGTACCAGATGGGGAGTATGATACAGGAGAAGAGGTGATCCGTGAAGAAAGTATGATTCTCAGGAGGACAAAGGAGGGAGTTAAGACTAGTCTACACAGAGTATATAGGGGATGGGAGACTACGTGTGAAATGACTGGTGACGTTAGCAGTTCGCACAAGTGAATCCAAAATGGAGTTTACATTCTGTATAACGAAAGGACTACATTTTCTTAAGGGTATCAAAAGTACAATTGTCAAAATGACTGGGGTTAGATCCCTGTACGTTTTGCTTTATTTGGTATGATCTTCATGCAGGCCCATGTCTAGTTACTCGACTAGTTATGCAAGCATGGGGCACTATCCAATGACATTCCGTAAAAGTCTAAATTATGGGGATGGTTTTGAACTCAATGGGAAAAGTACAATAGTCCTAAGTTGAAATTCAAAATTGAAAAAAGTCAGTTGATAGTCTCTTAAAATGTACATCTATTTCAAAAATTATTGCTCTGTATTACAAAAGTCTACATCGAAGCCCTCAGTATGGCTCGCAACTAAAATGAAAGCGTACTACATGTTTTATGTGTCTTCTCCATTCTAATACTTTGTGTACCCTCCATTTGCCTTTATCACTGCTACGCATCTTTCGTGCATGCTGCCAACTAGTGACAATAGCTCCTCTGAACGTATAGAGTCCCATGCATCCTGTAGCAATGTCTTCAACGTGGCAGAGCGCACAAGCCTGACCCCATTTATCACAGGACTATTTACCTGAATGTGGTTTTTTAAGATATTCCACAATGACTCGATCGGGTTCAGGTCCGGAGAGTAAGGTGGCCATCTAATAGGCGTTATTCCAACTTCACGCAGCGCCTCAATCGTTGAGTTTGCTTTATGACATGGGTGCATTGTCGTGCATGCATAGAATTTCTGGATTTTCCAAGTCAAATTGATTCAAAAGAGGCAAGATTCTTTCACAGAAGGATGAGGCCCTCAGTGATCCTCAATCAATCTCCTAGACTAGGGATAGGCCTTTTTATGATCCGTAAAATGATCCTAAAATCATCCAGCTGTTCCCATGAGTATGGCGAGCCACAATACAAGTCTCATCAAACTCATCATTAGGCTAAACTCTGCTGTTAGTACAAGGAAGATTTAGATACAATTTAAACGTACTTTTCCTGTGACACGAGGTTTCATATGACAATCACCCGATACCCAGGTTTCATCAGTCCATAATATGCGACTCCATTGTTCATCGCTCCAATCTAAATGTAATTGGGCGAACTCCAATCTTTTCTGTTTGTTCACTGCGCTTAACGGAGGCTTCTTCCGAGCAATGCATCTGCTGTAACCTCTTTTTTTGAGTGCATTAGAAATTAGACGTTCACTGCATCCTCAGTGGCTGAAGGGCCCCATGGCTAGTTCCAAATAGCACATCTGTCGATTTTCAGGTGACTCCCGGACGAATGCTTCAAGGTCATCAACTTGTTCTGCGCTTAATTTTGGTAAGGGTCCTTTGAGAGACATAGGATTCTCAGTCTCTCGAGCACACGCAAGTTGTACTTGTCTTATTGTGAAGCTAAGTTTGTCGGATATATTTTGAAGTGTCAAGCCAAGTCTTCTTCATGCTCTTGTTTCAATACATTGATCGCGAGTTAGATGCTTGCGAACTTTAGTTTCTGAAGCAGACTTTTCGAGAGACATTGTTTGCTAGAATAGAGGATGAATTGATAGTGGTGAGAAATTTCAGTGATTGTGTAGGCTTGGCAGCCAAAAATGTTGTTGAAAATGTGTTTTACTAAGCGATTATTAGAAGAAGACGATTGGACCATACTTCATGGCGAGCGGGGTAAGGAGGAGAGATATACTAACCTATTACGAGCTAGCCCAACTGCACCTACAGGGCTAATCCCTTCAACGACCCAGTTTGAAGTTTTACCTTTTGGAACCTAGAGGCACTGTAGCTCACTCGAACTTGGCTACCAAATAATATCACGTGAACAAGCATAACAAATGGAATCGGACAACTCCGGTTCTAACCATGCAAGGCGGTAAGCTTGTAACACTACGTAGTAGATTTTGTTCCTAAGGAAGAAGTTATTAATTCCTATCGAGTTATTGTCTTTCAAGCACATCTAAATTCATTAAACCCTTACACTTGTAGGCAGAGATGACCTACATGTCAAATATAGTCATTGACTGAGACAGGACAATAAAAATTTAATGATATGCTTATGGGAATTAACTCGCTACTCAACGACCCATGGTAGCTTGGTGTAGAACTAAATCACTCCCGTTACGCATGTGCAGCCCAGAAAAAGCACAGCAGATACTGGACTCTTACTCGGGCGAGATACTCTATGGATAGACACTGCGAGCACTAAATCTTTACTATGTTGAAAGTAGAAATGTAAAATTCCTACTTACGAGCACTCTACTTATAGCTTCCCAACACTATCTTGCGTATAGTGTTGAGGCTTGAGTAAGCCATGATGTTGCGCTTGACGCCCCTTTGGTAGACATGAGCAGCTGAGCGTCAGGGTGGTAAGAGGTTATTGGGAAGCTATTCTTTCTAGACGGTACGATAGTCTAGTTGATTGTCGCTCAGACTTAATGGTGCTTTTACTTCTAGAAGTTAAATGAAGGCGACTCCCCCTTGCCTAACTTTGCCGGTTCATATGTGCTCAATTGACTCGTACCATTTGACGAAAAAGTTGCTCCGCAAATTTGTCAAAGATAGATCGGTATTGCATTAACCTCCCACCGATTCAGTCTATCATGAACGAG